AACTGTACACACCAAATGTTTAGTCTGAGTAATGCAAACAGGGGACCACACACACACACACACACACACACACACACACACACACACACACACACACACACACACACACTGTGATTTACAGACACAAAAGCACTGTTCTCGTCTCCTCTTACCTCCATCCCTTCACTCTTGGTTCCACATCACTGCCTCCTCCCTCTGAACCTCTCATATAGCTTTCTCACGGACACAAGACTCCACTTGCACCCCTTCACCTTTCCCGCTTCACCTCACCTCCCCCCTCCCCCTCGCCCTGCTCTGTCTCACCTCTGGGAAAGTTGCACTGCTCCCCAATGCTGATCTGCGAGGTGTTGACCAGGTATCCGATGGGAACCGTCCAGCCCACGGTGGTGCGGATGCCGGGGTGACAGGAGCTGCGCTCGTGCATCTCCAGCAGGGACAGGTCTGAGGAGGAGCGGCGGGCCATCGCCACCACGTAGTAGCTATAGCCATCTGGAGAAAGATAAGAGAGAGAATAATAACAATACAAAGTGATGCTATACTCTGAGAATGAAATGTCTACACACTGTATATAAGATAAGATAAGATAAACTTTTATTGATCCCAGTTTGGGAAATTCTTTTGTCACAGCAGCATGTGGACAAGCATTGCGCGTGGATTTAAAATGTAATAAAATATGTGCAGCATATATGTGTATAAACAGTAAAAAAAGATATCCAGAACATATGAACATATCAACAGTGAACCATGTATACTAGTATGTATCTCTATATATGGCTCTATCAACCTGAACACACTTTTCAGGCACAACCATGACCTTACAAGACTTATAATAGTTAACTGTTGATGCTTTAGTGCTTCCAGTGTTACCTGCTGCAGAGCTCAAACCTGTGACTTACCCTCTCCGTTGTGGGACTCTCCTGCAGCGAGCTCCAGGCCATGGCAGAGGCCGGCAGCGTAGATGTCATCTGCAAACATGGAGGCTGCATCCACCTTCCCATCCTGACAAAGACACATTTATTCTGTCATTATTAATAAATATACACTATTGTCTTGATTTGCAAAAACTATGGAAGCTATTTGTTTTGTTTGTTCTGTGCAGTTGAACATAGGTCACATATTTTAAAGTATGTATCTGGTACTCTTTGACCATAGATACATTATAGGTGATTCTGAAGAATATCTAAATGCGACCAACAACAAATAAAGAAACAGAATAGTCCTGAAGAACTGCTGATTTGAGTAATCAAGGGAAATATTCATGTTGTGTAATGCAGACTGATCAATATGATTTCCCATCCCAGTTGCTTTGCGTACCTTGATTTTGTCTAAACAATCTTTGGTGTCCTCACCACGGACACATTCCAAAGTTCCTCGAATATTCCGAGCTGTGGAGTTCCCGGCCAAATCCAGACACTTCTGCTCTTCAGCGTCAGACAATACACACCAGGAGACTGAAATAAACAGTGGGGAATTGAGTTGAAAATTAAGTGGAAATTAAAGCAGTAGAAGAGAACAAACACTGCATCTGCAAGTGTGTTATTCAGTGTGTCATGAAGCATACATTTAAACATGCACCTAAGTTAAGTTAAGTATCCAACATTTGTATTAAATCTGCAAGTTGAGGTTGTTTTGTACCTGTAGTTTTTTGATGTGCAGCACAGCTTATGGACAGAAGAGGCAGGAGGAGGAGGAAAGCAACCGTCAGTCTTCTCTCTAGACGATCCATTTTGGCTCTGGTAGAAAACCTGCTTGGGACAATCTCTCTAATACAACACAGGTGAAGAGCAGGTGGATATCATAGGAACAAAAAGTCACTCAGCTATAACCCTCCCTCTCTTGTAACCTGGTCCTGAGACAGAAAGGGAGAAAGAAGAGGAGAGAGGGTAAAAGGTGGGAGAATGAAGCAGGTGGGCTGGATGTGGAAGGAAGAAAACATTACATTACTCCACTGTCCCCTCCTCTTAAGTTGAAGTCCTTAGTGGATAATCCTTCCTCCATCTCATGATAGCAGTATAGCATTTCCCCCCTCTAATAACCCACTGAGACGTATCACAGGAGGAATAGTGGCAGACACACGTAGTCCGGGAGCAGTTCAGGTCACCTGGCACAGAGTTTTGACCCAGGGTCTTTAATTAAAAAAGCATTGGACAATGTGTCTCTGTGCTGGAGCCTTACTCGTGGAGAACAGATACCGGCTGCGTCTCGCTCTGACACACTGGAGACGAAAGCCCCAGGTAAGTAAGAACAAACAGCACTGGCTATTGTATGAGGGAAGACATATCTGCTACTTGATACAATTCTCAATTTTCTCTCTCTGTGCACACATTTTCCTGAACAGCCACTGAGCAAACCTAAAATTAAGTACATCTAGAGTTTGTTGACAAGTGAAATTAACGTATTGCTCCGGAGATGAAAGGCCACTTAGTTTTCCTGAAGTCTTTCGGAGAAGGAGTGCTCTTTTTTTAGGTTTGGGTGGACAGAACAAGAAAGCAGTTACAGTATATCAACCGGTCAAATAATATTCAGATGAAATACTGTGGGAGCAATCAAAGGAACTGTTTCAATGAAATAGTAAACCATGATTACAATCAATGTTGTTCAGTTGCTGAGGATCTAAACTACAGACCCGCTGAATAAATGCAGGAGATTTGCTCTTTGAAACAGCACCACTGCTCTTTTTTCCAAAGGACATTTTTTTGAAGGTGAATTAAGCCTAATTTATTTTTAAATTAAGTGGAAGTGGTGTTTCTTTCAGGCATTGTGGCCTGACTTAACGTATTCCCTGAAACTGTAAGACACGTATTGTTTACTGATCAGAAAGTGTTTTACATAATGTTTGAGCAACCTCTAAAGCTATTATTTTTTACACAAAACGGAAACAGTGTTATTTGTTAAGTTTTCAGTTTCTTCCCCTCCGCTACCGGCCTCATAAACAACACCCCCCCCCCCCCACTGACACTTTACCTCAGCCTTAACGCAGACTATATGCATTACATTAATGCACACAATGCACGACAATATTTTGTATTACTGCTGATTTTTATTCCATATTTTATTCTTTCTATTCCATTCCATTGCAATGTAAATACCGTGATATTTTTTACTATATCTTTTATTATTTTTTATATTTTTCTAGTTCCCTATCTGTGTTTTCTATTCTTGTTTTTATGCACCATGACACCAAGTCAAATTCCTCGTATGTGTAAACCTACCTGGTAATAAACCTGTTTCTGATTCTGATTCTGATTTTGCACAATGAATACCTTTTTGAGGTTTGATTTATTTTTTCTGTTAATAGGCTACTTACTTGCACTTGAATAAGGTTTTTGAATTCAGAAATGCTATGTTTTTCAGTGAATATAGACACAGTTCGTGAATCTACTTTATAGCAAACAATTATAAATTATATAAAAACACATCATATGTATATATATATATATATATACATATATATATGGATATTTGTATCATACAACCTGTTGCAGTACTCCCCTGACCCACAATGCATCTCGGTGGTAATGTTTTGGTGACGTCATGTGTGGTTGAGACAGAGTGGGCTGGGCTGTGGTCCTCTGCTCTCGGCTACTTGCCTCTCAAATAACACTAATACGAATCTTTAAACCTAATATAGGAATACACAAAAATCCCATAATGAGTTAGAGGACTGTATGTGGTGTGTGCCAGGTAGGTGGATGTTTTTGTATCGCTCTGTTTTGAGGGTCCTCGGCTCCAAGCGGTGCCTTGTGCTCTGTAGCTAGCTTAGCTTGCGGGGCTAACAGCAGCAGCGCCGGGCAGCCGTCTGTCCGAGTGGCGCCTCAGAGTCGCCTGTGGACGGCTAATAAAACAGCTTGTTAATGGCCTGTTAGCTAGAGCAAACAACCAGGCCCACGGTATGAGAGGTTGACAAAGAAGGGTTTGGTCATGTACCTATCACCAAAACTGGAGGCTGTGACATTGAAATTAAAGGTGTTATCGTTAGATGTTAGCAGGATTTGTGTTATTATGCTAGTTGTTGCTAATGCTACATTGATAGTTACCTCGCACAGGAACAGCTCCTGTAGAGCAAATATTTAAGAGCAATACGTAATAGTAAGCACATGATTATATTTGTCTATGGTAAATAGATGCAACTTCTTTAATTATAAATGTTATTAAATTACATGCGGCTGCCTTTGCACTAACTGCAGTGTATTCCATCATCAGTCATGTGTTTTAAATAAAGCTTTGACAGCGACAGACAGGACTATTTGCATTCAGCCTCTATAAGTTGTTGCTTTCTTTCTGCCTGAAGCCTTGGCAGCGATCACAAGGAAACGTAGAGAGGCTAAATGTAATTATCCTCCTGTACTCATCTGAACTCTCTTCCTCCCTGTCAGCGCACTGAATCATGGGTCGGTGCAGAGTCCCTCTCCTCCTCCTCCACCTCCTGCTGCTCCTGCTGCAGGCCCTGCACACATCGGCTGAGGGCTCAGGTACTGTCCTCTACTGTCTGTCAACTTCATGTTTCACTGTTTATACAAGGCCTCCTTCCTTTATCTGTGGTGTCCTGGACTGTATTTTTTTTTTCTTTGGCAGAAGCATCTTCAAAATGAATGAATGAATAATTTATTGTCAATTGCCTCGATCCACCACATCAGAATCAGAATATCAGAGAATCCAGAGTCTAACAGAAAAACCAGGTTCACTGAGTTTTCTGAATAAGTAAAACTTAGATCGATAGTTACGTAACAGCCAAAATAAACGTATATTTTTCCTTAAAAGTGTAAATAGAATATTTTGGCTTACTGCAGCTTTAAGATACATTGCGTCAAAAGCAATGAATCTCTACTGCACAAAAGCGCTGAAAGAAAAGTGTGGCTTAACAGACAATCATACACTTGGTACATCTTGGTTAATGAATGAAATCATAATTAGGATAACTGGAGGATTTGTTATTTGATTCATTTAGTTAAAAGCTACTATAGGATTAATTTGTCATGTAGTACAAGACTCCCACTCCTGAGAATCAGAATCAGAATACCTTTATTCGTCCCACAGAGGGGACATTTACATTGATTACAGCAGAAAAGAGCCAAAGACAGCTTATTATTAACTAAGAAGCATCCATAAAAAAAAAATTAAAGATAAAAAATACACAATTTACAAAATAAACATCCTGTAGCATCTGCACATCTAATCGATGCTGACCAGAGCATTGCTGCTTGTCTGTCTTTTAGTTCATAGCTATTTTGTTCGATGGAAGTCTTTCTCTTGTCTTGCTGCCATACTTACGTTAACACTTTTATATATGTGACCCGCTCTATCGAAATCAGTCGGAAGTCGCAACGGCTCATTTCAAAATAAACGGTTTATTTTGAAATGAGCCGTTGCGACTTCCGACTGATTTCGATAGAGCGGGTCACATATATAAAAGTGTTAACGTAAGTATGGCAGCAAGACAAGAGANTTCATAATGTCAGCCGGAGGGAGAGGGGGCGGCGCTGCGGAAGAGCAGATTGCCTGTCATCTTCCCTTTACAAGCTTAAAGAATGTATTTATCGTGTGAGTTTGGAAATAAAAGTTGCATATTCTGAAAGCCAAGACTTTGTTTGTTTAAAATCAAACAAAACACCCGAACCCCGCCCAGGGCACCATATCAGCTAGAACCGCCACTGAACATAATAGGACAATCAGTAAACCATTTTGCAAATGACTCATTTGTGGGTGATTCTTACAGCATATGCGGCCCACACCCTCACGGTCATGAATCCCTGTATCACGTGAAGGCAGAAAGAA